GAGTCGTTTCAGAGGAGAAGATTATTGTAAAAGCTAAAGGACGACGGGCGTCGACGACGACGACGACGACGACGACGACGACGACGACGACGGAGACAGACGCCAATTGAAGAGAATAGCTTGATTGGCCCTTTGGACCCTTTAAGCTTTAAGCTAAAATAAAAAGGGGGGAGGGTTCTATTCCCCAAGAACAGATGGTAAAATTTCCTAATAACATCTGCATAGTACATCCGCACGTATGTTCGATTGCATACTTGTAACCTTGAAACTAGGTGGTGCCCGAAGAAAATTGAATATAAAATGCAGATATTGATAAATTAGAAAAAAATCAGGTTTGAAAATGATACTGACATGATAATAGAAATTCATTTCTCGACTATCGTAAATTAAGTATTTCTTTTTATATTTTTCTACCACGATCAATATTGAATGAGAAAAATAATGTTGATATTTCGGAAGTTTGTGTTTGATTAAAAATGATTCAGAGCAAAAATACAGCAGTCATACTAAACTTATATAATTGTTCAAAATGAACGCCCTCTGTCCCGTACGGTATTGAATTAACTTAATAGAATCTGATTCAGATCTAAAATAGAAACATATTTTCTTTAAATGAAAAATGTCAGCTTCGTATTATAAGAACGTAAACCCCTAATATATTCCGGAAATGATGTTCTATTGAAAACAGACAGAGATATTCGGCAACAACAAACATCTGACTTAATCCACATCACCAGTAAAAATAGGACACGTTGACCATGACGTTTAGTAACTGTTTGCCATGGATACTCAATACTTTTCCTTATATGGCTTAACACATAAGAAAACAATAAATAGACAAAAGCTAAATATAATTATGTTTACAATGACAATTCTGATAATACACTCAAAATTCGCATGTGAGGCAAGTAATTGTATATGCAATACGTGCGCTCTGAAGCGTCAAGTTTACTTGAGTTGGGTATGCTTTGAGCACCTTGCATGATAAATATGTTGTCGTTCAAGCTGATAAAACCTATAAAAATATTGTGTTCATATGCAAACACCATTGTATGTTATAGATTTTTTTTAATCAACACTACATCTGGGTACTTCACTTACTTGCCATGCACCTGCATCATGTACCAATGCAAGGACGACATTTGTAGAAAATCATCCTTTCGTATAAGTATCGAAGAAATGGAGGTCGACCGTATGTCTTATTATGGGATACCTTCTTTACAAAACTATCCATATAAAAACGTTACATTAAAGGATTTTTCACTATACCACAGCGCTCTAAAATTCTTACATCCTTCTCTAAGTTAAGAAGAACCTATTACTCATTTCAGTAAAATGGAGACACGACAACACCTGATAATTTAGGAGGAACCCAAGTAAAATAGTTTTGTAAGTGTCAGACCCTCCTATCATTTTCTTCAACAATAGAACAACTGAAAACCTAAAAAGCTAGAAGACGCATCTACCAGAAAAAGCTCGACACCAGAAAGGAACAATAACATGGCGACTTGAAAAAGACGATTACATCAATCGATACCTGTATTAATCGAAGTCAAACCTAGTACTTGGACTGCAGGGGATGACAATAATATAAATATACCTTCCACTATTTCAGGACAGATTTTATACTGCAGCATTATGCATAAAGGCAAAAGATTATGATGTTGAGTAATGACCATCAAAAACGTCCTTTTGACATTTATGATTAATTCCTTGAGAAAAGTGTTACAAAGGTTAAGAATACTATAATAACAATATTAAATCTGAATTTAGTTATTCAGGTTGAAAATTTAATGAGTATACGTAGATAAATCTAAATTGTTCAGTTAGGAAACATAAAGTTTAATATAGTTGTTTTACATTTTGTTATTTCGGGGCCTTTTATGACTTACTATACGGTATGGCTTTTGCTCATTGTTGAAGGCAATACAGTTCCATATAGTTAATTACATCCTCCTCCTTTGGTCTCCGGTGGATAAATGTCCCATTGGCAATCATACCACATCTCCTCATTTTTATATATTTACCTCTTATGAAAATTGAAAGTTAGCAGGACAAGTATAAGGATACTTTTTCGCCAATTAAAACTGTCAGTCTCGTTGAAGAAGAGCAAAAAAAAAAGGATGGATGTATCACTATTTAAGTGTCATTGTCTAAGCAGGAGTGCAGCTGACTAAAGCCAGACAAATCCGTATTCTCAATTAACAGTTGTTTAAAATAAATACATGGCATAGGTTTATATGAATCTGCACTGTAGTTTGGCAGTGTCAGACACAGAGTATATGTACAATACTTTCTGTTTCAATTGGAAAATCAATCCTTTTTGTACACAATTTATCTTACTTGATATAAACAGACACTTGAGGATTTTTTACTTTATAATAGACAGGTGGTAAATCTCTTACTGATCTGTTGACAGACATATAGCCACCTTGGCAGAACTAACCGTTTATACGACCTTTTCGATCATTTTTTGCATTTGTTTGGTTTGTTATTGTTTATCTTTCCCTTCCAATTGTAGATTCAATACAGCTCTTTTTCTGCCTGAATTACAGCACAAAATAATTGCAACACAAAAAAAAAAAAAAAAAAAGATTTAATAAAATGGTGATGCATACGCGAAAAAAGACATTTTTAGAATAGTTTGTTTTATCATTACAACTATATAGCAATTATATCACTTTTGTGTATTTAGAATTTGAAATGCAGTATTACGTCTTGGTTCCTCCCATTAGAAAGGGTAAAATAATGATGTGTTTAAAACTCCAAAGCACTTGATTCTTAACAGCTGATAACTATTGATCCCTTCTAGACGCACATTTCAGCAGCAGTTCCGACCAAATGTTCGTGAAATTGACGTATGATACTGATTCTGTTGAATACGACCCGGCGTTGGCAGCAGCGGCGACTGCGTAAACTATTTGTATAAATTAAAAGCTTTATAATTTAAGGGGCAGAAGACTCGGAAGCTTCATACCTTATGTACAATTGCGCTATGCTATGAATTTTTGTCCTTCATATGTCAATAGTCTTTGATCTCATTATTATGGTTCAGCGGCGGCTTAAAAGACTGTATAGATTTTGTCATTTGAATTTCTCACTTATTATGAGTAATATGATAACTATATGTGGTATAAGGGATCCTTGCAAGTCTACATGTACGTCCGACAGGGTCCTCCTAATCTCGACCTCATTTTATTGATCAGTAATCAAGGTTAAGGTTTTGTGGTCAAGTCCACATCTCATATGCTATAAGAAGAATGTAGACTATTATATTTCTCGTTTGAATTAGTTTTTATCTTCATGTCGAGGAATTTTATAGCCAGCTATACAGTATGTGTTTTTCTCATTTTCGAAGGCCGTACGGTGGCCTATAATTACTTACATTCACGTTATTTGCACTCTGGTGCTAAATTGTATCATTGGCAATCATACCACATTTCCTTACCTTTTATGTCCTGTAGGCGAATCTGTGCAAGTTTTCGTGGAATTCTGCTATGCCGTCGACAAAGTGTTCCGTATTAACAAAGTGTGACACGGACGACACCGTAAGACGACCGGAGTGATCTCTATGTGTCGTTTAAGTAACAATCGGATACTCTCAGGCGACACAGAAACTATGTGTACGGGATTTATCATACATAAAGAAATTCTAGACTTAACGAAATTCCAAGTACAAATGAAATGGAAATCAATATAATTATATGTTTTGTTAAATTATTTACACTGCTAGGCTTAAAACTAATCAGAAGAAATGAAAATGAGGAAAATTTAATCCATGAGATGAATACATGAAAATGTAGCTAAAACTGTATTAACAAAAAACTCAAAGTTAAATCCAAAAAGGGGAGGTCTATAAAACCTGACAAGACCAAACGCTCGACTATATGTGGCCCGAGACCACAGTTATTTCGTAGTGCATTTCTTTTAGACAATACATGAAAATTAAAAAAAACCTACCTGCCCTTTCACAATAATATTATTACAGTGTGGTGTACTACTTTTGGGACAAATTATATCAAAATTATAGAAAACTTCAGCATCTCTAACTCAAAATATGGACATTTTTATGTTAAGGGGGTCTAAGGGGTATGCAAAAAATTGCAACTAATATACTGTTCATAGTAGGGACTATATTCGTATTCCTGTTTCGTATTTTTATAGCTAGCTAAATCTCACACGAGTATGACAGTTGTATATATTTCCGTTATATTGACATTTTTGCGAGCAAATCAAACGGACATAACTGGTAAACGTGACAATAAAAACGTGTAAAAAAGTTTGTAATCTAACATACAAGGTCTTGTAATGCCAATGCTGGTATATATTATCAAAAGGTGTATGCAGGCAACACAATTCCATGGCAAAAAAGCACCATAGCAATATGTAACGTTAATAAGTATTTAGAAGACATATACAGACCCCCCCCCCCCCCAAAAAAAAAAAAAAAATAAAAAAAGATAGAAGTCATATTTTCCTGGGGTGTTTCAATCTTAGTTTTCGCATTTTCATAATTTATAAACTGAACATTTTTAAGAAAACAGTATAATTTTTACATGTTAGGTCTTAACCACTAGACATATTTTGATAGTAGTCACGGGGACTTTATGCACTTTGAGTGAGGCGCCTACCCAATGATACATGTAATACTATAATAAAAATGAAAGATATTGATCCGTTCACTTTCTGTATTCTTTTAAAATCGCAATATTATCAGAATTTTCAATGCCTCATTGTCCGAAATGTATTCCAAATCGTTGTTTTATAATATTGATACTAGATGATACTTAAGACTGTACAATGTAACTGTCAGACCTGACGTAATTTATTAAACAGTCAAAGGTGAACGTTCATTCCCATGCACACCTTTCTCTGCATGCCAAAATACTATGCACTTAATGTTGAACGTTATAGCCTTGCCCCTAAAATGCATGATTTCAAAATAACTATAAAAGATATCGACTCTCGTGGGAGAACTGATTGAAGTTTTATTGTTTGGCTGTATGTTTCCTCTTTTCTGTATTACCTATATGTCTACGAAACATAATTGAAACATAATTTATCCATTTGATAATAACACCTCAAAGTAAAGGCGGAAGGAATATGTTTACTGATCTCTAATTATGTTTAAAATAATAATTTTATCAATGGTGTTGAAATCACATCTGCATGGAAAAACATTCATTATTGTTTTCATAATTTTTATTATAACTGACAGTAAGTCATAGAATTATAATGCCGTAGACTTCTCCAGATTTTTATACTTTTTTTGTGAAACAAGATTTCTTTATGAATGACGGAACAAACAGAGGTCGGTTGTCAAATAGAAGACGATGCAAGAAATTATACAGAAGAAACAATATCTGATGAACAATTAGATAGGGATATACCTCAGGGAGATGTAAGACATCAAAATACAGAACTTGAAACCATTTTAAGTACACATGGGTTGGAGAATATTTCTGAAAATGTACTGGAAGTTCCACAGAGTCAAGATGCAGCAAAGGAAATATTTCAAAACGAACAAGCAGAAAACCAATGTTCACATGCACTGGACAAAACGACTCAAAAGAGAGAACAAGAAGCCCCATCGGATCAGCTTGCGTTCGAAAATGACATCGGAACTCCCAGAAGTCCAGCTGGATCTGAAGAAAAATCCCCAAATGCTCCACGGAGTCCACCCGTTTTTAAGTTTACTTCCGAATGGTACTATGAAAATCCGGAAACAGATAGTGATTCCAGTAGTTGTGCAATTAAAGGAGACACCCTGGATCGCCGTTTATCCAGGGACTCATTCAGTGCAGAATCCGATGTTGAGTTGGAACCACCGCCGATGTTATCCGAAAGACGTAGTTCAAAATGGAGTGCAACAATTTTATTTGTAGCATCGGAAATTCAGATGATTATAGATCTTGCCGAGTTTTGTCCTGACGAAGCTTTTTTGGACGCCCCCAAAAAGGTTTGTTTTTTGTTCTATTTTAATATTTTTGTTTTTTTGTCGTTTTTTTTTGTTGTTTTGTTTTGTTTTTGTTGTTTTTGTTTTTATTATTCATAAAATTGTCAGTTTATATATTTTTTGATAAAAGCAAAAATTCCGTACAATATAAAAATTGAAGATGCACACGAACATTTAAAGTAGTCGGTCTGAGAAATAATATATTTGCTTGATCATTCAATAAATTGATTTAAACAGTCTTACTTTAAACAAAAGGCAACGTAAAAATTCGTTAAGTCCTAAATTCGCTCTGATCAAACGAACATAAATTATTTATATGCTAAAACCTTCTATATTTTGTATAGCATACATATCTGAGCACATCCAGATATGTATACTTTTATTCGATCAGACATTATAGAAAACTAAATACATATTTAAGTACTGTAAGGCGCAATGACCATCTCATTTTGATAACAATAAAATCCTCACATCACATACAACATTTTATCAATTCCAAAAACACTTCATTAGAAAACGAGATAATCTCTGATATGAGAAAATGTCTCTACTGTAAAAAAAAAAAAAAAAAAACCAAACAAAAAACAAATCTTCAATCTGATCTAAGAGACTGCTATCTGCAAAATATATACATGTATAAAATATATAACATCTTTGTATAACCAACACATTCTATCGTATCTACAACTTTGCGAAAATTATTTTAAAACATTCTAATATAAATATGTACGAAATTAAACTTCAGTACATAATATCGAAAAGATGTGCTACAATGGTCACTGCCTAAACCTCGATAAGCAATCGTTCATACTGACGGCCAAAACCGGTTTACTTCAACTATTGAAAACACAATTAATGCACATAAATTTAATTATTTCCTGTACCCCAATGACTTAAAATATTCTAGATTAGATTTGTGAAGAGACGTTATGCACTAACGATAATGTCAAAAGATGTAACTTCTTCTGCAGAATAAGTCCATAAAATTAATAGAATAAAGCAAGAAAATTCATTTTTTAAACAAGTCACAAAAAAGAGGCGAAAGATACCAAAGGGATATTCAAAGTGATAAGTCGAGGAGAAACTGACAAACAAATAAAGAAAAGACAAACAAGAGTCGACAAAACAAAGACAGCAGCACGAACATCATAAAAGGCTGATTGTTTTGGGATTCAGAGTAAGGACAAGTACCATTGCGCAGGCTTAGTATCAATAGCATTAGCGACAATTTGGAACACATTTCGGATAATGAGGCATGGTGAATTCTAATACTATAACGATTTTAAAAGCAAACAAAAAGTGAACGAATCACAAATGAAAAAATTTATTGTTTATTACATAGAGTTTAAGCAGAATAAAACAGAAAAGAATTTTAAAGAATTAATAAGTAAATAATCTTTTGTGCATGGGGGCAAGGATATTTTATAATAAGTTATTTGATTCTAAATTTCTTGCAAACTATAATTTGTTTCAGAAGGGAGGTGAAAAAAAATCCCCAAAAATATGTGCAATAAATTAATGATCGGTGCACAAGCTATATATATTGGATTAAGAATTAACATAGAGGATTGGCAATAAACACAATCTTCCAGTACAGTTTATATTCTAATCACAAAGAGTATTTAGCATTAAACAGTTACAACAATACCGAAAATTTTATAATTCAATATTTAGCGGAAGATCCAGAGAGCATTATTTGCACTGGCGTAGGAGTCAGACGTTAAAGGAGCAGTTGCAAAACTATGTCCCCCCAACCTTTTTGTTAATTCTATTTTTATTGAAAACAAAAACAAAAATGAAATAATACACTGACAGGAGCTAGACTATTAAACAGAATAGGGTTTATTACCTTGTAACTTTCAGAAGTGTGCCCCCACTTCTTAGTTCACTCCTACGCCACTGGTTTGTTTAAGAAAATGTAGTAATTAAGACGTGGAAAACTATTCATTATTTAAATCGGTCAATTCAAATCATAATTTTCAAATAAAGCACAAAATACGAAAGGACATGTGCAATAAATAGATACATTTATATTTATAATATAGCGAAATCTATATTCAATACGTTTAAAAGTCAGGATCGACAATCCCAAGAACGGAATACTGCAACTTTCTCAACTCCACAGTTATATTCTACCATAGGTGCTTGGAGCCTGGACTCGTTTTAATATTTGTTATGTTGAATATAATTTTAGAAAAGTTCCTTCATTATTATAACCCCGCTTTTTAAAGTGGGCTGTATATAGTGATCGGGGAGTCCGTTCGTTCTTTCGATCGTTCGTCCAACAAATATGTGACATAATTTTCTCAGGGACTACACAAAACAGAATGACCTTAATATTTTTTCAACAGCTTGACAGTGATGAGCAGTACTGTGTACGCGGTGTTCGGATCGGACAAGATACATGTACCTACTTTCCGATAATTATTTTATTACGAGTGGTATTATGCTTAGCACGAAAACACGTGTAATCTTTTTGGGGTTTAATTTGGGATGACACGGACAAGGACTTCGTCAATCATAGTACACATCTGTATCCGCTTCTCCTCCTTAACGCTAATCACAAGTTAGTGAAATTTTCTCAGAATCTTAACCAATGGCATTACATGCCATTGTACACCACCTATCTTGTTTTTGGTCCAAATTATTTTTGGGTTATTCTTTGCAAATAGTAAAGTTTGCAAGGGTCGAGGGTTTTCATTGTGACCTCTGCCTGGGTCACATCTTATGTCAGCTTATACTTCTTTATTTAACGTGTTGCTGCGTATTGTAAAACAAAAATGGTAGGTCACAAAAAACTGTTTCCATTTTCAGATTGTGTTGGTGTGAGAAAGTTGCGTTAATTAACATGATTAAGGAAAAAAAACCTTTGAAACTTTCTGTTAAACATTAATTATAATAAAACTATTCATACCATGGGTTTAGGAAGTCTTCCGGTGTTTTGAAAACATTGGCTTTAATGTAATACCGATGAACTAAACTGAGCATATAAAAACATTTAATACGAACCCCTTTCTCTATCAAAACTTGATATTTACGACGAAGCATATGTAGCATTTATTTTTGTATACATCTTAAAAAGTTTGATCTTTCAAACGTCATTTTGTTTTTATCATTCCTATTAAAAAAATGTTGGTATAAAGTACAAATTATACATCTTGTTTTCAGATTACAGATTTTCTAAGAACATGTCCTCTTGTGCATTGACATGCCTATACTTCTGTATCTTTTTACTTTGCATTCCATGAAGAGTTACCTACACAATACTAATTGTGACATAACCATTATGTGCGGTAGGTCGAGGGTTCTATCATGTTCAGGTCAGATCAAAAACTTCAAAATTGTACCTTTACTTGAACTTGCACTTCGTATTTGTAGCTTCTTCGCAAAAACAATTCCAGCGTTATTTACAGGCCTAGGTATTATGGTCAGAACAACAACTTATCTACTTGGTGTCAGAATAATGCGTCTCAGTAAGTTTACATCCTATTGCGTGTTGGAAATTTGTGAGATAGCCTTCCTTAGAATGTCGGTCTAATCCAAAGCATTCATATCACATTAACATGTTTTCGTCCTGAATGTGGTTGAAAAAGTGTCACTCATCCATACAATTAAGTGTCACTCATCCATACAATTCTAATTTCAGAATGCAGGTGTATATTTGACAAAATTGAATTTATCATGTGATGTGTGATACAAATGATTATTTAATCATTTATTAATTCTTTTTTATAAACCATCAAATTTATCATTATATCACGATATCTAGAGATCAAGCTACGCCAATAAAAATTCCAGGTGTTGTAACTGCATAAGCGACCTTGCACCTGCCAGAATAAACTAGTTAATAAGGCGTCAATGATATAAAATACAATAATTATCAAAATGATAATATATGCCATGTGTATCATTTACAGCTACCTGGTAAGCAGGAATGTCTGAACTTTACCTCATAACATTGCTCAAAGTTCAAATGCATAACTGTTTTTCATCGAGGCGTCGTGTTCACCTTCGAGTTTGTTCTATATAAAAAGGTGCCTCACTGAACCTGATGAAATACTTAACACAGGGTTAATTTCCGTACCGATTCTATCATGTTAATTTGACGATAAAGCTTGAATATTTTTATTCTCTCTTGCTATCGAAACTCATGTAATTACAATTTTATCTCACATAGACTAAATTCCAATGTAGGCTGAGATATCAGTCGGTTCTGAAGATATTTTACATATGAATGAAAAGAGATGTTAGGTAAACGTCAAAGAAACAACATTACAATCAGAAAAGAATAGATAAGTGAGGGTATGGGGTATCCAACTACAACACAAAGTCAGTACATGCGCAGCAAAAAAAAAAACAAACCAAAACCACAAATAGCAAATGAACAGCGTTTTTATTCACCTCAATGTAAAGCCTACATGTAAATCGACTGAATGTTACTGTAGACAAGTAAGCCAAACTTACTAAAGTATAATAGTTTGAGTTCAAGAAAATGGTATAGAGGCATTGGAATCTAAAATTAAAATATTCTGGATGTTGTTTTTATTCAACAAAGGTTCAAGGCTTTCGATTTCAATAGAATTAGAGTTTAAAAAAGTAAGACGATGCCAAGGGGGCCACCAAAAACAACAAATCGAAGAAAGACAGACAATACCATGAACAAAAAGGAAAAAAAAAAAAAAACAGTTGAGCAGCAAGATCTTCCGGTGCTTATATCGTCATATGTATATAAAAATAACATTAAAGAATGAAAGAAAATAATGTTGAAAGTGCCAGGTTTATAATCTTTAATGACTCAAAAATGTTAACAGTAACAACTTTTTGTTTGTGTGGCATTTCTTTAGTTTCTGTGTTTTGTAGACTGTTAATTGTCTTTTCGTCAGGCATTTTATTTTTGTCATGTTATTGTCTGTTTTGGTCGACTTATGGCTTTTTATTGTACCCTTACTACCTATTACCTCTTTTTACTAGATTTAATTTGTAGGAATCAATGCAAAATTTTCTGTGTTTCCAAGAAGAAATCAAATCTTTGCATAGATAACCATCAAAACTCAGTGTTCAGAGGGAGATTCAATATTACAACTCGGTTACTTCTCCTAGTTTATAAGAACAAATAGGTGCTTCTAGAATAAATGTTATATTTCATCCTTGTCAGTCAAACGAGATCTTATGACATATATTTGATCTTAAGAGTACTTTTTCGAGACAAGTAAACACATCCAGATGTATCAGAAAACACCCATTGTAATATAGGATACCATTCGACTAGTTTGCAAATACCCTAGGTAAGAATTAATATCAATTAAAATATAGTATTCATAACAAATTTTAAAATTATTTTGTGAATTTCGTTTTTCTATTATTTTTGTCTTTTCACGAGTCAAGATCTTCCCGGTATTCCCAATATATAAATGCTTTGTCTTCAATCATGTTTGTTGAGAAACAAATGAATTTTACCACTTATGATACATTGACCTATTGTTTAGCTGATAAAATGTAATAATAAAAAAAAGCCGTCAAACTTTACGGCTTTTCAGTTCCTGAACGGATCATTTTCTCTAGCATTCGTTACATTTTATTATAATTATGAAACATGAAAAGTGTTCTTGTATACACGTTGGTTTGCTATTTCTATCACCAATGTCAAATCGCGCATAACGTTATCCTCTTGCATTCTCATTATTTCAGCTCACACGGCATGCATAAGGGCGCGTTCTTTAAACACTTAGAGTATATTAACTATTCGTTACCTATCATAATTGTCTGAAATGTGCGAAATAAAACAACTATAGTTTGCCTGTTTTAACGATTACACAGATTTCATTTATTGTTTATGATCGGTGTGTCAAAATAAGTGTAATCGAATAAAAAGCTTATAAGTTGCAGTTTATAAAGAAAAAGATGAAATCTACTGTCACGCTTTAAAGTTGAAAAATAAACGTCAATAATCGTTTAACGCATTTAATATTATCAACGGTCTTAAGTATTTTACAAATGAAAAAAATAAAAAAATAAAATGCCGCTGTCCTTTTTATTTTCTTTGCTTGCTGCCTTATATACGATAACCTATATATTTTGTTCAGTATTAAAACCATTAAATTGTATTATAAGTTGTAACCTAGTCAAGTAATTGTCAATACTTAAAGAGCTGATGCTGATGATATAATCCTTGATATCATGATAGAACTAAAGAAAATTGATGGAAGACATAATTTATTTTGCAATTATTTTCGTTAATTTGTATTTATACATGCTTTAATTTATTTTGCATTTTTTTCATTATTTTGTATCTATACATGCTTTAATTTATTTTGCATTTTTTTCATAATTTTGTATCTATACATGCTTTAATTTAATTTGCAATTTTTTCATTATTTTGCATATATTCTTGCTTTTCAAATTATAATCTCTACTGCTTTGTTGAAAATGTATCGCGATAGGCTGTCACAGAAAAAACAACCAGCCTGTACATCGGTCGGAGTCCACCAAACAGAAAATGCTAGGTAACAAAATCCCACTATAGCTACGATAATCAACATAAAAAGGAACATTGATCTTTGGTTGTTCCATTTCCATGTGATAATTTGTTTCTGAAAGCGAGGTTGACTGAAGGCATTGCATGGGTCTCCTCCATTGACGCATGGATCTCCTCCTCCAATGACGCAAGGGTCTCCTCCTCCAATGACACAAAGGTCCCCTCCTCCAATGACATCTACTTTATCGGAATCTGTAGATAAGTTTGAATCCCTCATTGCCTCTAGAATTTGTACCTTGATTTGATTTGAATCAACGTCTTTCCAGAATGATAACATATTTTGGAATTTCGCTTGATCTGCGGCAGATGTCAGAACGGAAATCGCGGACGAATTTGAATCGTCTGTTGTTTTCTCATCTTCGGTAAGTCCAATATCTTGTAACAAGGATCTAATTTTTGCCTCAAGTTCCTTTTTCAACTCTGCCTCCTCCTTGGCTTCTTCTTCTTCCTTTCGCTTTCTTTGTTCCTCTTCTTTTTTGTGGTTGTCTGCTTCTTTGATTAGTCTTATTTCCATTTTGTAAAATCGATTTAAGCGTTCACCGAGGTGATTAATTTTCTCTTTCCGGTTTAGATTTTGAAATGAAAGATATTCATTACCCATTATAACTTTAAGTTCAGGTGAATATAACTCCTTTGTGGCGCGTATCAACTTATTAACAATAATTCTTGTATCGCAGGTTTCAAACAAGGATTTCAGAGCTTTCAGAATTCGCAAGTCTTCTTTATTCATTTCGTTTGATAATTTGGTTTGCTCCTTGATGGCCTTAATGCTAATAGTTTTTTTAGAATAATTTGTCAGAGGAATTAAATAGTCAAGTTCTCCCGCGTCCGAAATCCGGAATTTGCTTTTTTTATCATCTTTCCATTTTGAATCCTGTACTGTATGTTTTTGAGTTTCAGTTTCAGTTTCGGTATTTTGTTTTTGTTTGCTGTAAAACAAAAAGAAAGACATGAAAAGTCTTGTAGTAAAAATAACAACAACTATCAACAATCGTACAGTGAAACATAAAACGAAATTGTTAGATTTGAAGCTTAAAACCTTATCTATAAACACTTATTTTAAGTCGCTTTTACGTATACCCACGTGTTTGTTTGTTCATATTACCCTGACGCTGGTGCTAGCATAACTTACATCCAACGTTTAACCTAAACTGATAACGAAGTCCTATATGAAGTAGAACTATAGGGTAAAGTTTTGTTTTCCAATCTTGTACGTTCGGGGTACAACCCTTATATAGAGCTAACTAAAGTAACCCTAAGCCTAGCCCATACCTAATCCTAACACTAGCCATAACCCTAAAACTTATCTTTACCTAGAACTTACCCTAACTTAACCCTTCCCTTACCCTAACCATTACCTTACTCTAACACTAGTCCTGACCCTAGTCTTAACCCTAACCTAACTTTTACCAAAATGAACATTAATCATAAAGTACCCCTATAGTAAAGGAAGGCCCAATTGTTTACCCGAAAAGCAAGTACACAAAACACCGGTTAAGACTTACTTTTCCACATTTACGGCTATGTAGACAGTCGGGCTACTGTTGTCGGCCATATTGGACGTTGTAATGTTGAATCGCGGATGGCAACGTTTTTACAACGTCACTATGACTCTACTGTGTCGCAAACGTTTATACTGTACCATGTGACTGTAAATTTACCTTCTGCTATATGCATTACCATGAGCTAATACATGAGATGATTACTAATATATGAATACTCGACGATGTACAAATACAACTCTTAAATATCATTGTCAGGAATTGACAGAAATGTAATTGTACTATAAAGATTGGTCTCTACACACTCCACACTACGAGTATTGATTTTTCACAATGCAACAGCTTGAACAAATAACCGTGTGTGCTAGTATTTATTTAAGGAATGACTGTATTATTTTTTCTGTCTATGAAGAAATAACATAAAAAATGTGGTGCACACTGAATAACCCGCATATGTTTAAATAACCCGCGTATTTCTGTCTATGAGGAAATAACCCCAAAAATGTGGTGCACACTGAATAACACGCGTATCGGGTTATTTAAAAGTGTGCACCACATTTTTGAGGTTATTTTATCATAGACAGAAAAAATATTACAGTCAGGTGTGCACCACATTTTTGAGATTATTTCGAATAGCCAGAAAAAAAATATTACAGTCTTTCCTTATAATTTAATTATAATTTAATTTTTCAAGGAGTAAATCATGAAAAAACGTTGATTACGTCACGGTCTCATGACAAAATTATGTCTACGAGCTGATAGACAAAAAACGTGCAGCCAATCAGAAGACGTGCTACATCCAAAATTAAATTATTGTAAGATAGATGTCATGATTTAACTATGACCAAAAAATTAACCAATATGACGGTTTGTTCAAACCAGTGACGACCGTAAATCTTGATCTTTTACGCATCAATGGAATGTATTGCCTTAAATGGTATTTTCCTTAAAAAGCGAAAAACTAAATATTTCATCATTCTAGATCATTAAAGGTTGTCAAGAATACTTTGTAGACAAATTTGTCGTTCATAACGTACTGTTATCAAATGTTGTACATGTATGTTTATTTGAAATGTTTTGAATACTCTCAGAAATATTAGCTGTGGCTAATGAGTTTATCCTCGTAAAATAAAGATTACTTATTTTCGTTCGTTCTTTAATGTCCACACACATACTTAGAGAGCGAATAATGAAATAACTTTTATAAAGACGAATGTTAGCAAACTGAAGATAGCAAAGGAATATCTAGAACTAATTTTGAAAAGCAACAATTCCGAACATCAATCTTACAAGAACCCTTTCACAATTCGACCTGCACGCGAGTTAACTTAAAATATCGGGATGTGTAGCACTGATGGACATAGACCTTGTGAAAAAAAAATCATGTTCATTTTGTTTTATACTAACGATACAGAACCACAGATCAGTGGACTACTTTAAAACCACAAAGAGAAGTGTTTGATGTAGCCATCTTTTACGACAGACTTCGGGAAGCTCTTTTTAAAGGGGTTAACAAAATCTTAATTGTGTAATGCATTGTCTTCCATTTCAAGAGTAAATATTTATTTCTGTGTTACAAAATATTTCATAGGATCAATTTATTTTTTTACATTCTACTTAACACTATAGATCCTTGTCTCTCTGTGATACCTGTTTTATAGCATTGTTATCTGTGGAATGATTTAACGGTAAACTTTTAATGAAAAACACTTTGATCTACAATTATTCATGAAATATCAAAACTTAAGATAGCAATCTGCACTCCCATTCAGAACCGTTTTAAGATTAATTTATAAGCCTATAGCAGAAGCAATGTTAAATGGATAAGCACTTGTGCTTTATTTACCTACTGCTTCGATTGTAAACGCATTTAAGTATTTTGAAAGTATAACAAGTGTACGGTCATTGTCTACTCTTAAAAGGAAAAACGGGTTGTAAACATTTATAGTATTATAGCCACGTGTTTAATGTTGATATATAGATGTCCTTACTTGTATTGTAGTGTTTCTTTCTTCAATGCCAAACATTTCGCATTTACTGTCAGCGATCATTAAAATTGAGAATGGAAATGGGGAATGTGTCAAAGAGACAACAACCCGACCATAGAACAGACAACAGCAGAAGGTCACCAACAGGTCTTCAATGCAGCGAGAAATTCCCGCACCCGGAGGCGTCCTTCAGCTGGCCCCTAAACAAATATATATACTAGTTCAGTGATAATGAACGCCATACTAAACTCCAAATTGTACACAAGAAACTAAAATTAAAAATAATACAAGACTAACAAAGGCTAGAGGCTCCTGACTTGGGACAGGCGCAAAAATGCGGCGGGGTTAAACATGTTTATGAGATCTCAACCCTCCCCCTATACCTCTAGCCAATGTAGAAAAGTAAACGCATAACAATACGCACATTAAAATTCAGTTCAAGAGAAGTCCGAGTCTGATGTCAGAAGATGTAACCAAAGAAAATAAACAAAATGACAATAATACATAAATTACAACAGACTACTAGCAGTTAACTGACATGCCTGTATATATTCAATTGGGCAGCAAAATTGTCATTAATTTTGTACAAAAACGTGTTTGAAGTGAGTGAAGATCAATATCTAAGAAGGTTTAACCTTCAAGTTAATTCGTATTAAAAACATGAAAGAAGAAAAAAGATAGAAACACACTCACTCAACTATTCGATAGATACTTTTATGAAAGTAAATTTCCAAGTATTTGTGAATTAAATTGAAACATTGAAACAAATTGTTTTCGAAAAAGTAAAGCAATTCAAAATTTCTAGAAAAAATAGAAATAAAAAAGAAAAGAAAATGACAATGAATCGTTAGAATTAAAATATTTGTCTTTGACCTGTTTTAACGTGTCACCACTGCAAGGTCTTAAAAAAACCACATCTTCAATATAAAAAAAACAATTTAAAATTAACATAACATCTGAAAATATCTCCGACGCCAGCTTGGTTCGATATTTTAATTAAGTAAAACATACAAATACATAAATCCAGACTCGTTTCGAAAAGTGCCAAATTAATACTTTTAAGAGCTGATTCTTAGGTTAAGATGCTCCGATTAATTTTCTCGAAATAAACAAGATGTCACCTATTAGTGGGCACCGCTGCACAAATAACGTCACAACAAACGCGTTGCCAGAGTTTGATCAACGTTGCGAAAGCTAAACGCCTTATAACACCGGAATTAATAAATCCAGAACATTTATTCTGACAAATTATAACTCTGTTATTGATAAATCTTCCCCGAATTAATGGCAGAATCATCTACATATGAAATTTATTGTCTGTCCCAATTTTATAGTTGGTTTTGAAAGTTTCAGGTCAAAAATCGACGCTTATAGTTTGTACCGCCGTGTATGAACTGTGCTATCTCGCAAAGAGACAATGTAAGTCAGACAAGCATTAACGTTTTACTTACGGATTCAGATACAAGAACATTCTTTTAATGAATTTGTCCAAATCTAAAGATATGAAATGACAAGTTTGAAAGGGAACTTTACACATATATGTGTCCATGTAGAATATTTCAAGACATATTAATAATGTTATTAATCAGAAATACATGTATTACGAGTAAAATGGTTGAACTATAATACCTTTGAATTGACGGTATATATATTTCTATATGGTGGTAACTATTCATTTTAATACCGAAGACTATTATGATTTTAGGGTGATCCTATAGGTGATGAAAATTCCAATATAATGGCAGAGGAAGATAGATTGATAGAACTGCAACCTATAAAAGATAAATTTACAAATGGAATTTCATATGAAACTTATCAAATACCACCGCATGACACGGTCATTATGAACGAAGTGTACACGGGTAGTAACGGTGATATTCCGAATGATAATGATCCGAACGAAGATCCAACTAAAGATCCAAAAGACGAAGAAACACAGGACTGTAACAGTGAAAAAGATAAACAAGAGAGCCCAAATGTAAAAGATGACGGCGAAATAAAATTCCCAGTTGAGAACTGGTCGAAGAAAAGTGACTATTTATTAGCAGCAATAGGATATTCAGTTGACTTGGCCAATGTTTGGAGATTTCCATATCTAGCTTATAAAAACGGTGGCGGTAGGTCTAACTTTATATGTATGTATAAATCCTCACTGGAAAAAAAACTACCATAAAATTGTCTTTGAGTAAAGCAGATCTAAGACCTTACTTTCTTTCTTTTACATATTTATTCAAATTTCATTGTTGTTTTCGGACAACAGGTAACGTGAGAGAATATAAGTCTTATCTTCTAGGCAAGGGACGTGTTAAATCAGAAAATTGCAAGATCATTTCTTCAGCATTCAAATTTTTGAGGAGAAAACTTTTGTGATTTTTGAGACTGCTCATTTGGTAGTCACATCTTACATTTTTTCTCTAGTATTTACATAATTAAAAATGCCATTCTCCTTTTGCATCACTTATCTCATATTTTATGGATATCAAAAACTGTTAAAGCATTATACTGTGTAGTTAATTAATTTAGAGATGTAACCAAATAATATCCTTGATATAGGTTTATAAACCATTCCTAATATTAAAGTAAAACAGAGCAGTTAATGTGCAGAAGTTATGTGAAATCAACTTATCAAAATTAGGAGGAAAACATGAAAATTCCGAATATCTTTTTAGTTAAACAAAAAATTTCAAGCATTCGAATTGGACTATTTTCATTAAATTTTGCTAGCAGTGATTTATTTTGCAATTGCATATTTGTATTTCTGCAAATATATACGGAGATCGGCAGTAAGCATACACTTAGTACTATACGGTATACTTCGTGTTTCCTGGGTTTTTGCTAATTTTGTTTATTCTTAGTACCGATCTGATAAGCCAAACCCTTTTTAATTGATTTTCAGAGTTTTTTCTAAACAATGTTGTTCACCCATTTCAGTTAATCAATAGCTGATTGAATATTTTAGATCTTTTTTAGTTTTGTATATAAAAATAAGGAGATGTGGTATGATTGCCAATGCGACAACTATCTACCGAAGTTCAAATGAAGTGGATGTAAGCAATTAAAGACAACCGTACGGCCTTCAATAATGAAAAAAACCCATACCGTATAGTCAGCTATAAAAAGGCCCCGACATGAAAAATAAGAAACAATTCAATTAAGAAAACTAACGACTTAATTTATAACAATTTACGAAAAACAAATATGACAGACAATAACCAACGACAACCACTGAACTACAGGTTCCTGACTTGGAGACAGGCACATAAAGATTGTTGCGGGGTTAAACATGTCTGTGAGCGCTCAACCCTCTCCTAACATGTGACAGTGGTGTTACAGCAGCGCTCAACCCTCTCCTAACCTATGACAGTGGTGTTACAGCAGCGCTCAACACTCCCCTAACATATGACAGTGGTGTTACAGCAGCGCTCAACCCTCTCCTTACCTGTGACAGTGGTGTTACAGCAGCGCTCAACCCTCCCCTAACATATGACAGTGGTGTTACAGCAGCGCTCAACCCTCCCCTAACCTGTGACAGTGGTGTTACAGCAGCGCTCAACCCTCTCCTTACCTGTGACAGTGGTGTTACAGCAGCGCTCAACCCTCCCCTAACCTGTGACAGTGGTGTTACAGCAGCGCTCAACCCTTCCCTAACCTGTGACAGTGGTGTTACAGCAGCGCTCAACCCTCCCCTAACCTGTGACAGTGGTGTTACAGCAGCGCTCAACCCCCTCCTAACCTGTGACAGTGGTGTTACAGCACAACATAAAACAAACTATCAAAATCAGTTGAAAAGGGCTTTACACATCAGATCGATACAAAGCAGAAAAACATCTAACATATATACAGACCGGACGTGACAGGGTATTCATACATCCCAACAACAACAACAAAAAGAAGACACGCGGTACAGATCTGAGAGTACTCGCAGTTACTGACAGCTAGTTCAAAGCAAATAACAGCTAATAAAAAATCATGCATCTGAGACTAAAATATGTTTATATCACATCGAATATCTTTTTTGTCAAAGAGAGTAGCATATTAATAGTTATTTCTCGCAAGATCTTATACTTTCAGATTTTTTTGCGAAAACATTCACCGAGATAAATGCCTTAAAGTAATTATATCAATCTGGGATGACATATATGAGAAAACCATCTGTTTCAAAGAATTATCGGGCAAAACATCACATATTCCATGTCATTTACATGGCAATTAATACCATTTGATGTCATGGCATACCTTTATATTTTATATTGAACTTTATAAATACAGTTGTTTTGTGAAGAATAGTCAAACACGAAGCTCAGAAAGATAGAAGATATTACACCATAGCAAGACGCTTAAATTAAATGACAGGGCTTACGTGAACTGTTCCGCAATGAGATGTATAACATGAGTTCCATAAGAATGTCAAACCTCTCGATTAAGAAAGCTTCCAACGACTTTAACAACTCTAATCCAATGCCCCAATTGTGTCATTGAAAATCAACCATATCTATACAATTGTATCAGGCATTTTAACATTATCTTTAGCAGGCATTAACATTATCTATCAGGCATTTTAACATTATCTTTAGCAGGCATTAACATTATCTATCAGGCATTTTAACATTATCTTTAGCAGGCATTAACATTATCTATCAGGCATTTTAACATTATCTTTAGCAGGCATTAACATTATCTATCAGGCATTTTAACATTATCTTTAGCAGGCATTAACATTGTCTATCAGGCATTTTCACATTATCTTTAGCAGACATTAACATTATCTATCAGGCATTTTAACATTATCTTTAGCAGGCATTAACATTATCTATCAAGCATTTTGCAATTTCAAGCACTGCTGATTTATTTTACATCAGCTGTAGATAAAAATCATACATAACCCTCATTTTCATAACACTTCGGTTGACAATATAGAGATGAGTTCTGCTCATGAATTGAGTTGGATTTACGCCCCTGGCTCTTAACTACTAGTAATTGAATAATTAAAACAAGGAAATTTTAATTTATACAAATCCCTGCAAATCCAGACTACAAATAGAATAGATAAGAAAATGTTATTTTAAGTCGGGTTTACATGAAACATGACAGACATAAGCTCTGTAGAGGTTTTTTTCTAACAAGGTATGTATGTAGTTTGCCTGATGATTGATAGAGATAATAGGGAAAACAACATGTGTACTTGTCTTGCCTGTTACTATATACACTGATTACTAGTACCGTAATCTTAGTAGGTCATACTGATACATGTAATCTTAGTAGGTGATACTGATACATGTAATTTTGCCGATAAAAATCCACAAAAAAGTTTGGATTTAAGCCTGTTTGGAACTTAAGAATAATTAGAACATTTATATTTCGTCTTATTTTGATACAATTTATACAATAATTCTTAGTTAATGTCCATAAAGCAACTTAAACAATTGACAAAACTGGCTTTGCTATCGGTTTCATGATTCGATTTTGGATTTGACGTTCACGCATAAGCTTTATATCGTTAATAATATTCGTTTTACTTTTGTACGAGTTATGAACTTGAATGTACTTACCATGAGGTACATGACGGATGTACACGTGGATCGGATCCGACATGGCGGATGTACATGTGGATCTGATCTGATATGAGGGATGTACACGTGGAGCAGGATCTGCCTACCGTTCCAGAGTAGATCACCCCTGTTTTTGGTGAGGTTCGTGTTGCTTGAAGTATTTGGTTTTTTTTCTGTGTAGTGTTTTGTTGACTTGTGTGTATTTTCGTCATATTTCGTTTTTCGCCACGTTGCTGTTGGTTTCTCTTCTACTAATGAGTTTTAATGTCCTTTGGTATTTTCCGCCTCATTTGTATGAACTTTATAATCAATTCTAACTATATTTAGTTTTATGAAAATCTTCATTTTTCTTCCAAGCATGGTTGACACGGACTTTCTGATTTTTATAAAAGTACTTTATTCCGAATTTTAGATCTAGTTTCAGAAACTTTATCAGTCTTAATTTTTCCAAAACTAATCACTTTTCCTTTAATCTCCTTGAATTTCTCCCCATTGTGGATGATTTACAAGGGACGGTCTTTACCGTCCAGGTGCAGATATGACAATCTTGTTTAAAAAGCCGAGTGAGGGGAGGGGGGAGGGGTTATGGAGTAACGGTTAATATTTCCGTGCTCAATTACAGATTGAAGAATACTTTCAGATAAAAGAAAACAATATATTCTAAATATAGATACATTTTCAAGTATAACATGAAGAAAAAAATGTGTGGTTTATTATCTTGAAAGGGATACGTACGCTTGCTCCAACCTTGTTCCTCTAAAACTTCGACTGGCAATGCAAATACTATTACATGAACAATTATGCACAAACTTAAAAACGACTATAAGTAAATATCTATTTTAAACTTTCGTTCCAGGAGCCTTTATCATTCCGTACTTTACTGTACTTATATTTGGAGCCATTCCAGTGTTCTTCATGGAGCTAAGTATGGGACAGTTTACACAAGAAGGACCAATACATGTCTGGAAGATGGTACCGTTGTTCAAAGGTAACATTAATGAGTCTTTGTAGGTATGCATATATCTATTGCCCTTTGCTTCTTCAATAAAACAATTTATATTATACCTTGCTACTGTAAAACGTGTCTTAATTTATTGCATTGATTTTGAAGATCAAGCTTTTTGTTATTGAATTTCTTTTAGACAAAAAACGCAAATAAAAAAAAATCACACTTGTCTTTTCTCAATAAGATTTCGTACAGTGTAGCGTTCTATGTTTTGGAAAAATCATATCAAAATTATATAACTCCAAATAAGAACTAGATTTGTAATTGCTAGCAATAACGGATGGCACCCTCGTCCCCCTATTGCCATGGTAACGGCAGCCATTTTGAAAATTCCAAAGTCAAAGAGTGCATCTACACATGCTGATTAACATTTTTGTAAAGTTTCAATAAGTTTGGAGCATTTTGAAATTTTTGACATTTTTGCAGTTTCCATGGCAACGGCGGCCATTTTGAAAATTCCTAAGTCAAAATGCAAGTCAGCACATGCCAGTTATCATTTCTGTGAAGTTTCTTTCCATTTGGGACACTTTGATTATTTTTGCATTTTTGCTGTTTCCTTGGAAACGGCGGCCATCTTGAACCATTCCATACCAAGGTGCACAACTGTACATGGGGGTCCTCATTATTGTAAAGTTCCATCAACATTGTTCCATTAAATTCCGAGAAACACGACGGACAAAATGTGTGGAAGAAGAATAATAAAAATAAGAAGAAAAAAAAAAGAAACGTAGAATAACAATACGTCGCCCCAACTCCGTTGAGGGTGCCATAACAATTCGATGTTAAGGTGATCTAGAATTCAGTTTGACAGCTGCAACCATACTATTTTTTGACTTTTTCCAACTGGACCAAGTCACTACTTTACCTTATAGTTCATGACCCACATTTTTTTAACATGTATTAACTTGCTTTTTATGCATCAAATAAAAGAATTACATTTGAAATGCGTTTGAATTTTTTTCGCGTTATTCACGGTCCATACTAGGGAATATTTAAATCAAAGGACATGAACTGTGTCCCCGGACCTCATAAGAAGAATTTTGATATTCATAATAATGTTTGATTTATTTACAAAATTTAATATTCCAAGCTACATGTATGATATTGTTTCTTTTTTTAAAGAAGAAGTTGGAATAATTCTAAAATCTGAATATGTGATAGCAATAATTGTTTTATTTTTTGATCACGTACTTTTAAAATTTGATTTTGTTGGTCTATTGCAAGTTTTATTTAGAATATTAGATTTATTAAAATGAAGGCATTTTAGTGTGATTTAAAAAAAACAAACAGAAATTTGGTTATAAATTGCTCGATGTTATTGATACCGATTGCAACGAGAATGTCACGTGTATCTGGAATGACCTTCATTAGGCACATTAGAGTCAAAACATTTAGTAAGCCAAAATACTTTAAACATTATAGAGCAAATGAATGAGAGCATGAAACGAGCAAATAGAACACCTGCAAGGTCACCTTTATCTAAGGGAGTTGCAACCTTAGTTTTAGTATAATAAAACATAATTCATAACCTGATTTTATCGCCATGCTATATTTCTAATCGCAGTATTCACATCTTTATGTTCATATCTTTTAAATAAAAATATAAACCTGCAATATAAACTAATTTTATAGCCAACGATAATAAAGAGTCAAGCGCACACGTGAATCTGCTGGTGTTTTACACATCAAACGATGCACCGTCTGTTGACAGAAATATCAATGTTCAAACTAATGTCTGTTGACGGATTCCATTTCGAAAGTACGTAGTTTTCATGTCGGTCATTGTCGGAATGTCCCCAATGATTGCCTTTATTTCCTTAATACGTTTCAAAGTTTTAGAAGTTTTAGAAGTGATAAAAAAACAGGATTTAACAACTAAATAGTCCAGCTCTTTACCGTTATTCGTCATTAAGGTACACACAAAAATGACACATTATCGAGGCTCGAGTACGGAACCAGTAATTCGTTGCTGTCAATAGTTTTATTTTCATGAAAAATTTCAGAAAAGGAAAATGTGACTCCTGACGGAAAATGCCTTTCCTACCCTCATACTTTTGTGTAAAAATATTAGATGAAAAACAAATATGATATATGGGTCAAGCACTTTAAATGAACGGGTTTGAAATGTTAAAAGACTCAGAGTCAAGCGCACACGTGATTCTGTCAACTGACGGTGCATCGTTTGATGGTAAAACACCAGCAGATTCACGTGTGCACTTGACTCTAAATAATCGCAATAACATAGCAAGGTCATCACCTGACATGACCGGTCAATCCTTGGCCTGACACATATCTGCATTGGATATATTTAGAATTTTTCAATATATGTTTATTTATTTAAAACCCTAATTTAAGCAAACTTGACTAAAATCTTGGTGGCCAGTTTTTTTTTAAAGTTAACTATCTGCCTTTGACAGAAAACCATGGCAACGGCGGCCATTTTGAAAATTCCTAAGTCAAACTGCAAATCAGCACATGCCAGTTATCATTTCTGTGAAGTTTCTTTCCATTTGGGACACTTTGATTTTTTTCGCATTTTTGCTGTTTCCTTGGAAACGGCGGCCATCTTGAACCATTCCATACCAAGGTGCACAACTGTACATGGGGGTCCTCATTATTGTAAAGTTCCATCAACATTGTTCCATTAAATTCCGAGAAACACGACGGACAAAATGTGTGGAAGAAGAATAATAAAAATAAGAAGAAAAAAAAAAAAGAAACGTAGAATAACAATACGTCACCCCAACTCCGTTGAGGGTGCCATAACAATTCGATGTTAAGGTGATCTAGAATTCAGTTTGACAGCTGCAACCATACTATTTTTTGACTTTTTCCAACTGGACCAAGTCACTACTTTACCTTATAGTTCATGACCCACAACTTTTTACATGTATTAACTTGCTTTTTATGCATCAAATAAAAGAATTACATTTGAAATGCGTTTGAATTTTTTTCGCGTTATTCACGGTCCATACTAGGGAATATTTAAATCAAAGGACATGAACTGTGTCCCCGGACCTCATAAGAAGAATTTTGATATTCATAATAATGTTTGATTTATTTACAAAATTTAATATTCCAAGCTACATGTTTGATATTGTTTCATTTTTTGAACACGTAGTTTTAATATTGGATTTTGTTGGTCTATTGCAAGTTTTATTTAGAATATTAGATTTATTAAAATGAAGGCATTTTAGTGTGATTTAAAAAAAACTACAGAAATTTGGTTATAAATTGCTCGATGTTATTGATACCGATTGCAACGAGAATGTCACGTGTATCTGGAATGACCTTCATTAGGCACATTAGAGTCAAAACATTTAGTAAGGCAAAATACTTTAAACATTATAGAGCAAATGAATGAGAGCATGAAACGAGCAATAGAACACCTGCAAGGTCACCTTTATCTAAGGGAGTTGCAACCTTAGTTTTAGTATAATAACATAATTCATAACCTGATTTTATCGCCATGCTATATTTCTAATCGCAGTATTCACATCTTTATGTCCATATCTTTTAAATAAACCTGCAATATAAACTAATTTTATAGCCAACGACTTTAACATCAGAGTCAGTTCTTTAATATAACGATTTAATTATTTAGCACATCAATGGTCTACTAATACATACATGTATCAACATCCTTGCCAATTTGATTTAGTATTTATAATAAATAATATACGTCAAATCCTCTCACAGACACGTCACGAGCAAATAACAATGCATACACTACTATCTCAGGTTAGGGTGAAGGTTGGCACATGTTAAAAAGTTTAACATTTTTATGCACCTGTCCTAAGTCAGGAGCCTGTTGTTCAATGGTTGTCGTTTGTTGGTGTGGTTTATAGGTGTTTCTCGTTTTTTTATATAGATTAGACCGTTAGTTTTCATGTTTGAATTGTTTTACACTAGTCATTTTGGGGCCCTTTATAGCTTGCTGTTCGGTGTGAGCCAAGGCTCTGTGTTGAAGGCCGTACTTTGACCTATAATTGTGAACATTTTATACATTGTGACTTGGATGGAGAGTTGTCTCATTGGCACTCATACCACATCTCTTTATTTATATTAACATAAATTTCAGTTTTACTGGTATTTGAAATTCCATATGTTATGTTTTGCTTAAAATAACATTATTGATTGAACATTATTCAAAAATATCAAACAGAATTAGGGGGTTAAAGGTTCAAATGCATGCTCATTATAATGGCATCTTACTTTTGAAAATAGTTTGGGATTTTACTGGGTTGCGTTACTAACATTGAGCTAAAAAATATTTTGTTATGTTTGTTATGAGGATTTTGGTTTTTATTTAGAATAAAGAATAAGTAAAGAGAATGATTTTGCTAACGTTTACAAAATAACAGACAGGCAGTATAGCTGAAATTAAAAAGGGGCGAATACACAGCGGGTCAATCAAAAACCGTTGGTCGAAAAAAAAAATCAAGCAAAACCATGTCATTGATAAATACGAAGAAAACACAAGAAAACCTCCACAATCACTACACACTAAAAAAAAGATTGAGCAAATTGAAATCCACCAAAAACCGGGTTTAACTCAGGAAGGGTTCCTGCTTCACTGGTGGCACCATTCGTAAATGTAATAAATGGGAATACAATTAGAGATCATCAGCACAATACACACAAAAATGAGACCCCCCAAAATCACCGTTACGAACATCAAACATGAAAAGTTTGCTCTCAAATCATAAGTAAGCAAACAATGGTCACATGATGTATAATTCAATCAAATTGAGAGCAAATTACATTTTGAGAATTTTACAACAATCCTTTCGGCATACATTACTTCTATGAAAAAATTAAACAGAATTTTATAATAAAACAAGGATTTGTATAGTCTTACTATACAAATCCTTGATCAAAATAACTTAGTATCATCTATTGGAAAAAAATGAAAATGCAAAACGAGCAAATAACTATTATTACACTCCCATATAATACCTCACGATACCAAGTAGCAGGGG